CAAGTAATGCATCCATTAACAGTTCCTTAATGGTCTTCAAGTTTATGCGTGCTATTTTGGGACACCTTCGTTGGATGAAGTCAGTCGGGAGTCTTAGCCCATGTGACACATCTAAACTCTTCTTACCACCTTGAATTCCAAATATTAGTTGCATATCGATGCTCGTAAGCTCAATGTGTTTACCACCAATCATGAAAGCCGACTTATCTGGAACAAATGTCTGAATGATCCTCATTACAATGTCATCACATTTTTGGAATTCATGTTGGTTTAGATCGATTTTTCGCATCGCATCCAACAACAACCAGAACGGTGTTTTCTGAAGATGTTGCAAATGCTCATCTTTCAATTTTGACACTGCCACCAGCTTCACAATTCCAGCAATGTTGGAACGGTAGCAAATTGTTGGTTGTTTGTTCAGTTGTTGGTGAGGCTTATATTTCAGTTTCTTTCCTTTTCGGGCACTGCTTTACCCTAACGCGTTCACATTCTGTGACGGAGTTTGAGACTGCCATCTTTTACTAGTTCTAGTCCCTTCACTGCTGCTCACTTTTGGCTTGGAGCCTGACTGTGATGTATGTTTAATTGAGCCTCCTGAAAAAAATGCCACAAAAAATTCACAATTCATATACAAGCAAGATCTTACTGATAATGTATGTGAATATGTACTTTAATAGCAATACATAACATTGCATGTCAGTATGTTCGTGATGTGACTAGTGTCACTGAGAAGTACTTGGCGTAACTGTGACAAATTACGTGCACATGTGACTGAGAAGTACTTGACGTAACTGTGACAAATTACGCGCACACATTCAAGGCCATGTTTTCAAATGTGACTGAGAAGTACTTGACGTAACCGTGACAAATTATGCGCACACATTCATAGCTATGACTATGACAAATTACGCGCACACATTCACAGCCATATTTCCAAATGTGACTGAGAAGTACTTGACGTAACTGTGAGAAATTACGCAAACACATTCATGACTATGACAAATTACGAGCACACATTCACGGCCATGTTTTAAATGTGACTGAGAAGTACTTGACGTAACTGTGACAAATTACGCGAACACATTCATGTTTTCAAATGTGACTGAGAAGTACTTGACGTAACTATGACAAATTACGCGCACACATTCAAGGCCATGTTTTCAAATGTGATTGAGAAGTACTTGACGTAACTGTGACAAATTACGCGCACACATTCACGGCCATGACTGTGACAAATTACGCGCACACATTCACGGCCATGTTTCCAAATGTGACTGAGAAGTACTTGACGTAACTGTGACAAATTACGTGCACACATTCACGGCCATGTTTCCAAATGTGACTGAGAAGTACTTGACGTAATTGTGACAAATTACGCGAACACATTCATGGCCATGACTATGACAAATTATGAGCACACATTCACGGCCATGTTTTCAAATGTGACTGAGAAGTACTTGACGTAACTGTGACAAATTACGCGACATGGTTTCAAATGTGACTGAGAAGTGCTTTACGTAACTGTGACAAAGGTGTGCGTGTAATTTTTTAAATTTGTAATTTGTCACATTTGTATATCTGAGTGAAAACAACCAAACGACATCGTACCACAATGTGCCACTGTACACACAGTCCAACTTACATGTGCTTCCACTCACATCCAACACTAATTTCATATTGGGCCATAATCACATTCATTAACTGTACAACACACAACGACAAACCCCAAAATAGTCTACCAAACCCAATACTATGCTTGGATCAAAAAAAAAAAAACAAATAAAATCAAATCAAATAATGATTATGACTGTGGCCCCCAAAATAGTCTACCAAACCCAATTCAACAACGAATCAAGCATAAATCACCCACACTGGTCAACCCGCAGAAGCTCCATCTTCCAACCCCAACATACATATTATTTCCAATTCGAAAACTGTAAAATCAATTATTCATCACAATTCTCACAAAACATACAAATAACAAAGCAGATTACGACTGAAGGTCACATAAACCCTAGTTTTGGGTTATTAATAAAAATCAAATAAATTAACATTGCGAAACAAGGGCAAATCCACATTTACGTTTCGGAGTCATCATTCCTCCTTCTCACCGTAAACAGTAACCGTTATCACCTTTCCCTCGAACGTCTCCATCGAATCGCTCCCCTTCTCCTGTTCGTGGTGAGTTTTGAAATGTTAACAACTGAATCAGCTGTTTACATTAGCGTAGAGGCACAAAACATATCTACTTCTTTTTAACCCCTATAATTTTGCCAAACTGATCCTTGATTTCCACAAATAACGTGCTTTTTGAATTTCCAAATTAATGTATATGGATATGATATTAACATCTACTATTAAGGGTAAATGTGTCAAGTAAATTTCCATAGGACTTATGAGGATATAAGTTTTTACTTAGGACTTAACTTATCATAAGTGTGTGAAAAAGGACTTATAAATAAGTCTCCCTATAAATTAAAATTTTTAATTTTATCTCTATACACATCAATAATTTTTGAATAATACTATACTACCCTCATCTTCTATAACAAATCTTAATCCTAAACCTGCTAAAGCCACAATTTTAGTAGTTCCTTATGTTTAAATCACAAATAACTATAAATCGATGATAAAGTTGAATAGTACAATGCTATGTGCTTTCCCTATTTTGCAGCATTCATCATACAATAACAAGAAATTTACCCATACACTTTATAGTCCTCCAAAACTACAATTATACAATAAAATAAAATAAAAAATGCTTTTCTGAACTTCTCTTGGTACCATTTTTTGATTCTCATCAAAGTAATTTGAATATTTAAAGTCGGATGCTTAACGTTAGCAGTTAAGGAAGTCTTTGAGCATATTCCTTCTGTTCCATCAATCTTTCATAGGTTAGAATTAAGTTGGGGGAGGGAGATGGGGCGTATTGGTAATTTGATTGAAGAATATAAATATAATTAAAAAATTTAGAAAAAGATGTGCACCGAGTTGATCAAGTGTGTGGAAATAGAATTTTTTTTGCACTGTATAGGTTTTTTTTTTTTTTTTTTTGCACTGCTATAATTTATAAATATTTTATCTTATTTCTCTTTAATTTATTGATGTTCCAATTTCACTTCATTTGTGTGCTTGTATTATAAATATATATTTAAAATCCACAACTTACCCCTCATTTTCCCTTGTACCTGACACTTCCCTCCCCTTTGCCACCCATCTAAAGACGGTTTTGAAGCACTACTGTACTTAGTAGCCACTACAAGAAAAAGTAATTTTAGCGACTAAAAATATAAATTTCGTCGTTGAAAGTAGGATAATTGGCGACTAAAATTGAATTAGTAGCCAAAAGTGAAGACTTTCGGTGACTAAAACAGTTTAGTAGCCAAATGTGTTGTTATTGGCGACTAAAAATTAGTTTAGTCACCGATCATATGGGTTTTAGCGACTAAAACAATTTTAGTAGCCAAAAGTGAAGGTTTTTGACGATTAAAAAATAGTTTGGTTGCCGATTATAGGTGTTTTACTGACAAAAAAAAATTTTGTAGCCAAAAGTAAAGGTTTTTGGCTACTAAAAAAAATTTAGTAGCTAAAAGTGGACAATTGGCGACTAAAATTCAGTTTAGTTGGCAAAAGTGGAGGTTTTGGCGACTAAAAATAAGTTTAGTCGCTGAAAGTGGTTATTTTTAGGCGGAAATTATTTTTTTTAGCGACTAAATTATTAGTAGTAGCCAAAACTAAGGTTTTTGGCGACTAAAAAAAATTTAGTCGCCAAAAGTGGCTTCCTTTTTTTTTTAATAAATAATTTATTTTTTACATAAATTATATTGAATAAAAATAATTATGTTTATATATATAGTTTTATATTAACACAGGTCAATATACTATATAAATAATATATTTTGCATATATATTAATGTGGTATTATTGTAGCATAGTGGAGAGATTGTGTTGCTAAAGGTTTAGAATGTGGGAGGGTGGTGGTTCAAAACTTGGGAAGAGCATAGGGTAATTTTTTTTTTTTCTGAAATAAGCTTTTGGCGACTAAAATGGGTGGTCGCCAAAAACTTCAGTATTGGCGACGAAAAAAATAGACGGCAAATGTATAAATTAAAAAAAAAATAATTCAGTATTGGCGACTAAAAGTTTAGTCGCCAAATGTATAATTTAAAAAATATAAATGAGCTTTGGCGACGAAAATTTTAGTCGCTACAGACTTGGTTTTTGGCGACTAAAAGTTTTTTAGTCGCCAATACCTCCGGTGACCATGTATTCGCAACAAAACCGGCGACTAAAATATTTAATCAGGGAAAGTGAAAAGTCGACTTTTGGCGACTAAAAAAGGACTTTTGGTGATTAAAAATTTAGTCGCCAAAAATACTTTTTCTTGTAGTGAGCAGTTTAAGGTTGTTGAAAGTCTTAGACTGAATATCAAAATAAAATCTTATCTAACTTTTAAAAAGTTAGGACTTTCAATGTTAAAAATTATTAAAATTTTATTGTGGGTTCTAGACAACAATTGAATTGGTTTAATAGTCTAGTCACCTTTGATTGTGCTTAACACACATGAGGGGATGTTGTACCTAAACTATTCATTTTATGAGTATATTGAGAAGATCATTCATATAAAAAATTAGATTGATTAAATATCAATAATCAATTAATATGATCATATTTGTTTAAAAAAAATACGTGTAACAAATGTAATTTAAAAAATAAATTATTCAACAAAAATAAAACAATTATCTGACAACAATGATTGTAGAGATAAATTTACTTGAAAACATTTTCAGGCTATATATAACTAGTAAAACCATTCATCAATCAGAGGAAATGGTTATGTTAAGATTCATGATATGGCAAAGCATTCGCCTCATTAATTATGCTTGATGATTAATTAGAAAGGAGAGGTTGGGTAAGATGTTTGTGGAATTAGATTGAGATTAATCAAAAGCAAAAGTCCTTCAAAAGTATTGAAAGATCAGCATATATATATATATATATTAATTTCAGAGAAACTTCACAATATTATAAGATGAATTGCGTTAAAATGTGTACAAACCTCTTTATTTTGTAATGGAATATAACAAGCATATATCAATATTTAGCTCCAAAAAATAAAATTAAAAATTCTCTCAGCTTTCAGGACTATGTATAGATCATGTAGGAATATGTGCAAGAATGTTGACTATAAGTTTATACCAATAAACCAGCCTCCTTTTTTAGCACAGCCATCAAAAAATCATTCCAAGCATCAATAGGTCCAGGCAAGCACCAATGAACACAATCATCGTAACCCTTCATCCATTTATTCCCCCAGTGAGATCCCGGGTGTCCATCAGGCCTCACCATCATTGCCCCCGTCACATCCAACGCTCCAAATTTCTTTCCTCGCCTCTCCCCTCTCTTCTTTGCCCTTTCAACCTCTTCCAATTGAATTCTTCTAAGTTCCAAGTCAACACCTCCTAATTTCACCCCATCCCCGGCCAAAGGACTAGTCCTATTACACCTTCCTCCGGTGTCCCATGCCCCATTCTCAAAATGGGCCGGTGAAAAAGTCCTCAACAAAGTTACCATCTTGCTCCTGCACTCTCCGCATTGATCGATGTGATTGAGGGCTGCACGGAAGGACATTCGTAGGGCAAAGCCGAGACCATGATCAGTGACATTTGGTTCATTGCAATACACACAACCTATTAAATTATTGCCTTCGTATAGGTAAAGTTTTCTGAAGAACCAGTGCGCATCTGAAATGATGGCATAGTCTATGTTGGGAAGTTTTTGGGCCCATTTGTCATCGATTCTGTCAAGTTGTAAGTCAAAAATGCCAGTGTTTGAACCGTTGATCACTCTCTCCTTGCCTTTTATCAGGAATTTGGACCATAGGATCATGAGAGTAAAATCATGGAAAGGGAAGTGCCACGTTCGGAACCGGTCTTCTGAGTCCTTGTAAACTTCTCTTGGAATTTCTTCCTACAAGATTTGAAACAAAATACATTTGTCAATGCAAATTCATAGTCCATTTTTTTTTTTTCCAAGCTTACAAAATATATAATTTATGAAAGCTTACATGTATGTCTAAAATTTTGATATTCTAAAAATTAAATCCAAACCTCCCTTGATCCTTTCATTTTGTACCTCATCCCCTTCTCTGTCATATTTTGGATTATATAATTTTGTGGGAATGTCAATTCAAAAGTCTACTTTATATCCAAACATGATATTCGGAATTAAGCAATGTACATAATCCAATTTCATAACTTAATCACTCAAACAAACACTACGTCTTCTCTCAATTGACAGTAAATGAGAAGGAAAAAGAAAATAAAATTTGTATTCCTTCCTGGTACTGTGTTTTGTTATTGGGAAAAAATTATAAGTGGTTATTTTTACTAAAAAGTATAGAATTATTTTTGAATAATTCTACATATATTAACAATCTTACTAAAAAAACATACTAAGGTCAAGTTTGGCAACTTGTAAAAAAGTTAAAAAGTCAAAAAGTTACTCAAAAAGTTAAAAAGTTAACATTATTCACCAAAAATCAACAATTACGGCTGCACAACTCCCAATTCGAATTTTTCCCTACCAATCAATTTTTACAATTTTTTATTACACATTTTTTCATAAAAAGTCAAAAAATTAACCTAAATATCTATATTTTAACACAAACATCCATATTTTCAACCTCAATTTTTTAGTCTAAAAAGACAAAAAGTGCACTTATTTAGGACACCCCAAACAACCCTTAAAAATAAAAATGCTCAATGTGATTGGTTACCAAAAAATTAATGATACTTAAACATTTAATAATGTTTGAACATGTATATTTTTAGTAAGATTATTGTCGGAGTCAGAAAAAAATATCTATCAGCTTATTGGAGTTAATCCAAACAAGGCTTACAATGGGTTCAGCCCAACAAATATCACACCTCCCATCTATATAAAGGGGCATCTCAGAGGAAGAGGTATGTCATCTCGCTCTACATTACACACCAACACTCTTCATTCCTATACCTTCATTCTTTCAATCAAGTGACTAACTTTGCTATCAGAGTGTCTCTGGCCAGCAATCCTGGTTGGATGGCCGATCATGCGCATCGTTGCAAATCTACAAAGACAAAGTTCATCTCTTCGTTGGATTTCTATAATTCATGTGAGAAGATTTTTATGGTCTTACAATTATTAATAAGAATTTCAATAGATGTAGGATTTTTCATTATTTATATACGTAAATTTTCTTGTAAATTAATAGTTAAAGAAAAAGAAAAATAGAATCATATTTTCAATTATTGGGGGGTCTTTTAGGAAGTGGGTTATAACCTATTTCCTTCTCTTATAAAAAATTAATTATAATCATCTTTCTAAAAAAAACCCGTTATTTGTTCCTGTAATATTTTTTCCGACGAAAACATTCCTGACAATTATACGGAGGAAAATGTCTCGTAACTCAAATTTTGTGGCTCAAAAGTGGCTCAAATGGCCAAAACGACGTCGTTTTGGCCATTTTTATGTTATTCTGTACTCAAAACGACGTCGTTTTGGCCATTTGAGTCACTTTTAAGTCACAAAATTTGAGCTACGTAACATTGTCGTTATACGGAGGGGCTAGCGGACAGCTTTGGTTGCGGCGTCGTTTTTGTGTGATTGGGTAAATATCCCACAAAGTCAACTATTACATATAATCAAGCACGTTCCAATTTTTGGTTGGTTTTGATTGGATAATAATTCCCCTACCTCTGACTTTGATTTGCTAAACCAATCATGTGATGTGATCCTCTTTCAAGAACCATCAGTACTTGTACACCATTTTATAGTTTGAACGGGCAATTTGTGGTGACCGTTTTGGTTTTGTTTGTATTTGCCGTGTTATTTTAGTCAACAATATCTAAATAATTTAATGATATGTTTAGTTGTGTTTTTATTTTTATTTTTTAAAATATATAAAAAAAAATTATTTGACAAATTGTTTTTGAAAAATATCTTTTTAGATAACCCTTTTTAAAAAAATATTAAATTAGTTATTTTGAATTCTTAAAAATTGTATTAGTACTAAAATAAAAATAATCAGTGTGTTTAGTTTGAGTTTTTTTGATTAAATTTTTTGAAAACTGAATTTTTTTATTTTCGTATTTTTTTATTTTTAGTGAATATTTTTTAAATTTTAAATATTTTTTTTTTACTTTTTTAGATGCACCTTAGTTAAATGTATCTAAAAAGTAAAAAAATTTGTGAAAAAATATTTTAAAAAATTAATAAATACATAAAAATATTTAAAAAAATGTACTGAATTCTTATATTTTTTGTATTTTTGATATTTAGTGAATTTTTAAAAGATTTTTTTTACAATTTTTTTACTTTTTAGGTGTATTTATGTTAGGTGTGTCTAAAAAGTAAAAAAATTGCTTAAAATATTAAAAAGATTCAGTAAAAATAAAAAAAAAACACGAAAAATAAGAATGTAAAATTTTCTAAAAATTATTTTCTGAAAAATAAAAACAAGCAAGCTGAATGGATTTTTTTTAATTTTTAGAGTATGATCTTATTTACGCATCACAATATGAGTGAACAAAACACAACTTGTGATTAATTTAAACGGTGTTGTTGGGCTGTGATGGGCTCGATTCTATATCCATCTCGATAATCTAAATCATTCAAGGTATAGAATTCGTTGAGTATATCATTCCTACAAAACATTATATTAATCAGATATCGATAGCCACTTGATCAACTTACATTTGTATCTGTGGTTTATTTTTAAAATCATAATTATTGTTGAAACAAATGCAACATAATCAAATGACTATATTTGATCAACACGATTTTTTGAAAGAATGATATACTCGATAAGTTATGCATATTAAACGGTTTAAAATATTGATATGAGTCTAGAATCAGGTCAACCACGAACCAATAGTACCATCTAATTAAATTATCTAATTAAATTTTGGACCGGAGAGAAGCTGTGAGTTAATTTAAAGTTGTAGAATTCACTTTAGTTAGGTTGAAAATACTTATCACTCAGTTTTGGTTTTTAAAAGTTACTTTTTTATTTTCCGTATTTATTTGTTTTCACTAAATTTTTTTAATATTTTAAATAATTTTTATTTTTATTTTTAGACATCTAACTTGTGAAAAAAATCTATAAAAAATTCACTAAATAACAAAAATATAAAAAAAAATGGAAATTTGATATATTTTTGAATATTTATTAACTTTTTAAAATATTTTTTCACAAATATTTTACTTTTTAAATATATCTAAATAAGGTACACCTAAAAAGGTCAAAAAATTTGCTTAAAATTTTAAAAATATTCACTATAAATAAAAAAAATATGAAAAATAAAAAACTTAATTGTTTAAAAATTAAATTCAAAAAATTAAAACTAAACATACTGTATATGTTTTTTTTTTTTGTCACTATTTCAAAGAGATTGTTAAGGAAAATTTGGGAGAGACTCCCTCTTCTGCTATGGATGCTTTGATTCGTAAAGGAAACAAATTAAATCATGTGACATCAATTTCTAGAAGGAAAAAAAACGAGAAGATATTATTTGACATTGGTAAAGTAAGCTTTTTTATATGGTTAATGTTAAAGATTTTAAAAATTTTGTTAAAATTTCTATTAACCATCCCATATGGTTGTGGGATTCACATGATATCTATATAATGTGAATTCCACACCCATATAAAATATTGATAAAAATTTTGATAAAATTTTTAGAATTTCTAACCATTTTCTTTTTAGTATACTTGGGCAAAGTCCAAAGGTTCTTTTTCTTAAACCAATGACCAAATAAACAAAAGGAACAAATGAGACAAAAAAAGAAAGAAGGGCACACTGGCTTGAGAATTGATGGCACCATTTTATATAATATAGGAATAATGTTGGAAATACCAATTTTTTTATTAAATAAGTAGTCAAATATCTCACACGGTAGTTGTTTGTGGATCGTACACCTAGGGGTGCAACTCGGGCGAGTTCGGTCGGGTTGGGGGTCTGCCCAAGCCCGACCCGAATTGTATTTGGCATTGCCCAAGCCCGCCCAAGCCCGACCATGAACCCGAACATTGTTGCCCAAGCCCGGCCCAAGCTTTGTATTTTGAACTCGGGTTGCCCGAATTGCCCGAGTTCAGAAACCTGTAGGTAGATCTAAGGGTAGACATAAAAGATGCTAATCTAATGGTAGAAAACTAACCAAAAAAAAATAAAAAATAAAAATTAAGACTAACTCTTTTACTTAATAGAAGACTAACCAAAAAAAAAAAGCAGAAGATTAATTATTATTTTTTTTTCTGAAATAACCTTTTGGTGACTAAAACGGGTGGTCGCCAAAAGCTTCAGTATTGGCGACGAAAAAAATAGACGGCAAATGTATAAATTAAAAAAAAAATAATTCAGTATTGGCGACTAAAAGTTTAGTCGCCAAATGTATAATTTAAAAAATATAAATGAGCTTTGGCGACGAAAATTTTAGTCGCTACAGACTTGGTTTTTGGCGACTAAAAGTTTTTTAGTCGCCAATACCTCCGGTGACCATGTATTCGCGACAAAACCGGCGACTAAAATATTTAATCAGGGAAAGTGAAAAGTCGACTTTTGGCGACTAAAAAAGGACTTTTGGTGATTAAAAATTTAGTCGCCAAAAATACTTTTTCTTGTAGTGAGCAGTTTAAGGTTGTTGAAAGTCTTAGACTGAATATCAAAATAAAATCTTATCTAACTTTTAAAAAGTTAGGACTTTCAATGTTAAAAATTATTAAAATTTTATTGTGGGTTCTAGACAACAATTGAATTGGTTTAATAGTCTAGTCACCTTTGATTGTGCTTAACACACATGAGGGGATGTTGTACCTAAACTATTCATTTTATGAGTATATTGAGAAGATCATTCATATAAAAAATTAGATTGATTAAATATCAATAATCAATTAATATGATCATATTTGTTTAAAAAAAATACGTGTAACAAATGTAATTTAAAAAATAAATTATTCAACAAAAATAAAACAATTATCTGACAACAATGATTGTAGAGATAAATTTACTTGAAAACATTTTCAGGCTATATATAACTAGTAAAACCATTCATCAATCAGAGGAAATGGTTATGTTAAGATTCATGATATGGCAAAGCATTCGCCTCATTAATTATGCTTGATGATTAATTAGAAAGGAGAGGTTGGGTAAGATGTTTGTGGAATTAGATTGAGATTAATCAAAAGCAAAAGTCCTTCAAAAGTATTGAAAGATCAGCATATATATATATATATATTAATTTCAGAGAAACTTCACAATATTATAAGATGAATTGCGTTAAAATGTGTACAAACCTCTTTATTTTGTAATGGAATATAACAAGCATATATCAATATTTAGCTCCAAAAAATAAAATTAAAAATTCTCTCAGCTTTCAGGACTATGTATAGATCATGTAGGAATATGTGCAAGAATGTTGACTATAAGTTTATACCAATAAACCAGCCTCCTTTTTTAGCACAGCCATCAAAAAATCATTCCAAGCATCAATAGGTCCAGGCAAGCACCAATGAACACAATCATCGTAACCCTTCATCCATTTATTCCCCCAGTGAGATCCCGGGTGTCCATCAGGCCTCACCATCATTGCCCCCGTCACATCCAACGCTCCAAATTTCTTTCCTCGCCTCTCCCCTCTCTTCTTTGCCCTTTCAACCTCTTCCAATTGAATTCTTCTAAGTTCCAAGTCAACACCTCCTAATTTCACCCCATCCCCGGCCAAAGGACTAGTCCTATTACACCTTCCTCCGGTGTCCCATGCCCCATTCTCAAAATGGGCCGGTGAAAAAGTCCTCAACAAAGTTACCATCTTGCTCCTGCACTCTCCGCATTGATCGATGTGATTGAGGGCTGCACGGAAGGACATTCGTAGGGCAAAGCCGAGACCATGATCAGTGACATTTGGTTCATTGCAATACACACAACCTATTAAATTATTGCCTTCGTATAGGTAAAGTTTTCTGAAGAACCAGTGCGCATCTGAAATGATGGCATAGTCTATGTTGGGAAGTTTTTGGGCCCATTTGTCATCGCTTCTGTCAAGTTGTAAGTCAAAAATGCCGGTGTTTGAACCGTTGATCACTCTCTCCTTGCCTTTTATCAGGAATTTGGACCATAGGATCATGAGAGTAAAATCATGGAAAGGGAAGTGCCACGTTCGGAACCGGTCTTCTGAGTCCTTGTAAACTTCTCTTGGAATTTCTTCCTACAAGATTTGAAACAAAATACATTTGTCAATGCAAATTCATAGTCCATTTTTTTTTTTTTTTCCCAAGCTTACAAAGTATATAATTTATGAAAGCTTACATGTATGTCTAAAATTTTGATATTCTATAAATTAAATCCAAACCTCCCTTGATCCTTTCATTTTGCACCTCATCCCCTTCTCTGTCATATTTTGGATTATATAATTTTGTGGGAATGTCAATTCAAAAGTCTACTTTATATCCAAACATGATATTCGGAATTAAGCAATGTACATAATCCAATTTCATAACTTAATCACTCAAACAAACACTACGTCTTCTCTCAATTGACAGTAAATGAGAAGGAAAAAGAAAATAAAATTTGTATTCCTTCCTGGTACTGTGTTATGTTATTGGGAAAAAATTATAAGTGGTTATTTTTACTAAAAAATATAGAATTATTTTTCAATAATTCTACATATATTAACAATCTTATTAAAAAAACATACTAAAAATAAAAATGCTCAATGTGATTGGTTACCAAAAAATTAATGATACTTAAACATTCAATAATGTTTTAACATGTATATTTTTAGTAAGATTATTGTCGGAGTCAGAAAAAAAATATCTATCAGCTTATTAGGGTTAAACCAAATAAGGCCTACAATGGGTTCAGCCCAACAAATATCACACCTCCCATCTATATAAAGGGACATCTCAGAGGAAGAGGTATGTCATCTCGCTCTACATTACACACCAACACTCTTCATTCCTATACCTTCATTCTTTCAATCAAGTGACTAACTTCGCCATCGGAGTGTCTCTGGCCAACAACCCTGGTTGGATGGCCGATCATGCGCATCGTTGCAAATCTACAGAGACAAAGTTCATCTCTTCGTTGAATTTTTATAATTCATGTGAGAAGATTTTTATGGTCTTACAATTATTAATAAGAATTTCAGTAGATGTAGAATTATTCATTATTTATATACGTAAATTTTCTTGTAAATTAATAATTAAAGAAAAAGAAAAATAGAATCACATCTTCAATTGTTGGGGGGTCTTTTGGGAAGTGAGTTATAATTCACTTCCCAGATTATAACCTATTTCCCTCTCTCACAAAAAATTGATTATAATCATCTTTTTAAAAAATCTGTTATTTGTTCCTTGGGAAAAAGATTGAGAGCTCTATACCTATGATGTGATGTTTGTGCCTTGCTTTATTTTTTTTTAATTTTTTTTTTTTAACTTTAACACATCATTAAAGCTCAAATTAAATCTCTAGATTTAGAACTCTCTATCGTTTCTCTATGTTCCTGTAATATTTTTTCCGACGAAAACATTCCTGACAATTATACGGAGGGGTTAACGGACAGCTTTGGTTGCGGCGTCGTTTTTATGTGATTGGGTAAATATCCCAAAAGTCAACTATTACATATAATCAAGCACGTTTCAATTTTTGGTTGGTTTTGATTGGATAATAATTCCCCTACCTCTGACTTTGATTTGCTAAACCAATCATGTGATGTGATCCTCTTTCAAGAACCATCAGTACTTGTACACCATTTTATAGATTGAACGGGCAATTTTTGGTGACCGTTTTGGTTTTGTTTGTATTTGCCGTGTTATTTTAATCAATAATATCTAAATAATTTAATGATATGTTTAGTTGTGTTTTTATTTTTATTTTTTAAAATATATAAAAAATTATTTGACAAATTGTTTTTGAAAAATATTTTTTTAGATAACCCTTTTTAAAAAAATATTAAATTAGTTATTTTGAATTCTTAAAAACTGTATTAGTACTAAAATAAAAATAATCAGTGCGTTTGGTTTGAGTTTTCTGGAGTGTTTGGTTTTAATTTTTTGAATTTAATTTTTTAAAAATTGAGTTTTTGTTTTTAATGAATATTTTTAAAATTTTAAGTATTTTTTTTTAAGATGTATTTTACTTAGATGTATTTAAAAAATAAAATATTTGTAAAAAAATATTTTAAAAAATTAAAAAATTAATAAATACACAAGAAAACGAAAAATATATTTAATTATTTTTTTTATATTTTTTGTATTTAATAATTTTTTTAAAGTTTTTTTTTAATAAATATTATATTTTTTAAGTATATGTATGCTATATAATTTTTTTACTTTTTAGGTGTATTTATGTTAGGTGTATCTAAAAAGTAAAAAAATTATTTAAAATATTAAAAAAATTCAGTAAAAACAAAAAAAAACACGAAAAATAAGAATATAGAATTTTCTGAAAATTATTATCTGAAAAATGAAAACAAGCAAGCTGAATGGATTTTTTAAAATTTTTAGAGTATGATCTTATTTACGCATCACAATATAAGTGAACAAAACACAACTTGTGATTAATTTAAACAGTGTTGTTGGGCTGTGGTTGGCTCGATTCTAGATCTATCTTGATAATCTAAATCATTGAAGGTATAAAATTTGTTGAGTATATCATTCTTATAAAACATTATATTAATCAGATATCGATAGCCACTTGATCAACTTACATTTGTATCTGCGGTTTATTTTTAAAATCATAATTATTGTTGAAACAAATACAATCTAATCAAATGACTATATTTGATCAACACGATTTTTTGAAAGAATGATATACTCGATGAGTTATGCATATTAAGCGATTTAAAATATTGATATGAGTCTAGAATCAGGTCAACCACGATCCAATAGTATCATCTAATTAAATTTTGGACTAGAGAAGCTGTGAGTTAATTTAAAGTTGTAGAATTCACTTTAGTTAGGTTGAAAATACTTATCACTCAGTTTTGGTTTTTAGAAGTTACTTTTTGGTTTTTTGTATTTATTTATTTTCACTGAATTTTTTTAATATTTTAAGTAATTTTTATTTTTATTTGTAGACATCTAACATAAATACATTTAAAAAGTATAATTTTTGTGAAAAAAATCTGTAAAAAATTCACTAAATAACAAAAATACAAAAAAAAATGGAAATTTAATATATTTTTGAATATTTATTAACTTTTTAAAATATCTTTTCACAAATATTTTACTTTTTAAATATATCTAAATAAGGTACACCTAAAAAAGTAAAAAAAATTGCTTAAAATTTTAAAAATATTCACTACAAATAAAAAAAAATATTAAAAATAAAAAACTTAATTTTTAAAAAATTAAATTCAAAAAATTAAAACTAAACATACTGTATATGTTTTTTTTTTGGTCACTATTTCAAAGAGATTGTTAAGGAAAATTTGGGAGAGACTCCCTCTTCTGCCATGGATGCTTTGATTCGTAAAGGAAACAAATTAAATCATGTGACCTCAATTTCTAGAAGGAAAAAAAAAAAAACGAGAAGATATTATTTGACATTGGTAAAGTAAGCCTCCGTTTGGGAAGTGGGTTGGCTTTTTGGCTTTTTGGCTTTTTTAGCTATTTTAGCCTGGGCTAAAAAGCTTGGTTTGGGAAGGGCTTTTTGGCTTTTTTGACTTTTTTTGTGAGAGAAGAATGTAATGATTATAGGTTGGATGTGATGTTTTGTTTGTTATGGCTAAAATAGCATATTTTGTTTTTTGTGGCTAAAATAGCCAAAAAAGCCTGAAAATCAACTTGCCAAACAGAGGCTAAGTTTTTTTATATGGATAATGTTAAAGATTTTAAAAGTTTCCTTAAAATTTTTATCAACCGTCCCATATGATTGTAGGATCCACATGAAATCTATATAACGTGAATTTCATACCCATATAAAATATTAATAAAAATTTTGATAAAATTATTAGAATTTCTAACCATTTTCTTTTTAGTATACTTGGGCAAAGTCCAATGGTTCTTTTCTTAAACCAATGACCAAATAAACAAAAGGAACAAATGAGACAAAAAAAGAAAGAAGGGCACACTGGCTTGAGAATTGATGGCACCATTTTATATAATATAGGAATAATGTTGGAAATACCAATCATCAAAAATCTGTCCAAGCCCGTCCAGATTACAAGATATAGTTGCCCAAGCCTTAAAAAAACTCGGGCTGGGCTCGGGTTGCTCGGGTTGAGCCCGCCCGAATTGCACCCCTACGTACACCCATGTGAAACATTTGATTATTTATTTGTTAAAACATTTAGAGTCTATAGTATTTTTCATAATATAATTCACTAAATTTTCAATTGAATTACCGCATTGTGTTTTTTGTGCAAATAAATTGTTCAAAATTATAAATGGTCTACTATCAAACAAATAATAATAATTATTTTGTCAATGAAAACGATGATAAAAATCTAAAGGGTTCCATTATGTCATAAAAGGCAAATCTAATGAGGACTCTAATCTTTGACTACCCTAAAATAAACAAATTACAATGGTAACGTCATGTCCAACCAAGAAATTATAACTAAGTGTTTTGTTATAATATATTAGAAAATGCTAACTACCGTTCAATGAATAGTGGTAAAATATGTATTAAATTTTAAATTATTTGATCCTTAATCTAGACTTATAAGATTTTATAAAAAAATAATAAAAATTAAATTGAAGTGTCTAAAGTTGAACCAGCATCAAAATAACTCTTCGTTACACAATTGTAATCATCACATACCACATAGTTTGGTAAAGAATTCTGTATTTTTCTAATAATAGAATTTTCCTAAACTTTATACTTTGCATACAATACAAGTAATATAGAATGCACAAGAAAAGCATATTAATGGTACGATCAAGCAGGTCAGTAATAGCATTGTCACATTAAAATATTGTGCTTTCACTACTAATAAAATTTTGTTTAGTTTTCATGTTTCAAAAACAAAAATAAAAATTGAAAACACCAAGGGAATTGTTGTCATTTCAAAATTTTAAATATAACTTTTTAGTGTTTCTTGAATACTAGATTATTTTTAAAATAAAATTTAAAAAGTTTGAAGACAGCTCGTCAAATAAATTCTTTCTACGGTTTTTTCAAAAAATAAAAAACATTTTCATGGATCATTAACTTTTTGCTTGGCAAGAAAATTTTAGAGAAAATGAGAAAGCTGACCTTGGACAGGAGACAGAGAAGTGATTCCATCTGATTTCTTGCAACCGAGTCGCCTATGAATGCCATTGTTTTACCTTGAACAATCCTCAAAAATGTCTTAGGATCAAACCTTGGAAGATCACATTGCTCTGGTTTCCATCTCCAATTCACAAAATCTGCATCTTCTCTTCCATTCTTGAAGCAATTCTTCGAGTCTGGGATCGTTGGACAACTCCAGTTTGTGTACAGAGACCCATTCATGTCTGGTACCCAGTGACCCTTGAACAAGTCACACTTCTCATCATCTACAAGAACAGAACAATACAGCAAACCCAACAAAACTACAACTAATTAGAAACAATTCTAACAAGAAAATTTCTAAAAATCCGATCACAATACAATTCTATGATCGGATTATGTGCCCTTAGAAAAGTTGTTCAAAAATTTTAAATGCAAAGAATCTAATCACAACTACCAGAAACAACTGGACATAATTCTCTCATATAGATAGTTGTGTCTGGTTATGTGATCAAATTTTATGCACGTAAAAGAACTGTTCAAATAATGGAAAAGAAAAGTTGAGAAAGATGTGGGTTTTGAGTCATGATTCACATACCATTTTGATGATGTTTGACAAAGACAGTCTGTTGATTGGGAACTTTAAATGGGTTTGGAGAATGGAGGATGAAGAAACCAAAAATTAAGGTTAGACCTAGTGAACACAAGAGGAAGAAGGGAGAGGGTTTACTACCCAAGTCGAACCATTTGTCTTTTTTGATACAGTACTGATGAAGTTTATCAGAAGATAGAGAAGATGATGATGATGACTTCATGACTCATGAAGAGAAAAACAAAAACAAAAACAAAAACACAACACAAACACAAACACAAACACAAACAGAGAGAGACCGATTCGGAAGTGAATGTGGTTTGTACTTTTCAATTAATGATGGTGATTGAGGTTTGCTTTGACTTAATGATGGGAAGATTGGAGGGTTTTTATTGTGTAAACTTTCTTCTTCTTCTGTAATCTTCTCTTGATTAGGAAAGTGAACGTTGTGGTGGTGGAGGTGAGGACTTTGTGACTTGACTTGTGGAAGGGGATAGAAACTAGAAAAAACTTTTTAGTGGGGAAGTGTGATTTGTACAAAGTAAATTTATATTTTTAATAAGGAAATTTATTTAATAGTTTTTAAAATAATATTATATGTATCAATTAGTGTATTAACATAATTTTAGAGATTTTAAATATTTATAATTTGTATAATATATGGGGTCAGTAATAATGATATAGTGCTAGTTGATACACTAGTTAATGCATGTAGCACCATCGATAATTTTGAGTGATTATTATATATAAGAAAAGTAAAATATATATATATATATATATATATGTGTGTGTGTGTGTGACAGTAATCACACTAAATGAATTTTGTTTTTTATGTGGTAAGATTTTACTTTTAATGTTGAATTAAAATGAAAAATTATCAACATATTATAAAGCAGGTTGAATAATTTTGAAATCATTAAAGAAAAATGACACATTTATATCTTTAATGCTAATATAAATTAAAAGAGATATTTAGAAAGAGAGTTTATATTCAAAATTTTTATATGAATATAACACAAAAATAATTAATAAGGGAAAAAATGATAAGATTGAGATCATAATAGAATCAAGATCGTAGTATGATTTTATATGAATTTATGACTATAATCATAATCATTTTAAAATTCTATAAAAGTTAATATTCTTATGCGTTCTGAATTGTTTGGCTCAATTAGAGTCACAACATTAAAGATCTTACAAATTCAAAACAGAATTATGATAAATGAGGCCATTTATTTCAAAACAAAATACTCATTCATATGACTCTTAGGCCCTGTTTGTTTACCGGATATAAAGGCCGAATATAAGTGTGGAATCGGATATAATATGAGGTAGGTACTACATATTTTTTTATCTCCTTCTATCCCTGTGTTTGGTTGCTTCGGATATGAGAGTTTAAATAATATATGATGCAAAAGGAAGGGATATGCAATACCACCCCATGGTATTGTATACCCCCACAGTCAGATATAACTTATTTTTTATCCAAATGTCAAAAATAATCACTCTCTTTTTATCCCATCTTATATTCTATCTTAACCAAACATAGTATAAGTGACCGCATTGTATATATAATCCATCTCATATCCTACAATATATTATATCTCATATTTATCCTTAAGTATTACATATTCTCGTAAAACCCTTATATCCAATCCAAACAATCAAACATGACCTTAATGTGTTATTTGATAAAATTTATATTTATTAATTTTATTTATGTTTTGAAAAAATTGAAGATTGTAAACATATAGGGTAAATTATTATGGCCTCATTTGGGAAATTGATTATTTTAGTATGCTATTGTAGTTTTTGGTTATTTTAGTATATTAAAATTTTTATGTTGAGAAGATGATTTAATTTTTTTGTAATTAGATTTGATATTTGTGAGAGAAAAATAAAATGATTATTAATTTGATATGTCATTTTATTTTTTAACTTTTTTTACCATTTTATAAATTTTAGTCTAAAAAAAGTCAAAAATCCACTTCCCAAAAAGATCATGCGATGCATTTTCTTTTTAAGAAAAATGTTATGGATCCCAAATGATTTACTAATTTTCTATTAAACTTTTCATATGGATGTGGGACCTACACAAACCTACATATGTATAAATCTCACATCCATATAAAAGATTTGATAAAAAATTTAATAAATTATTTAAAATTTCTAGCCCAACTTTTTTTTAAAATTCTTGCCGTTAGCCTTTGTCTAGTGCGAAAGTTTTGACAAATGTCCACCGTCCAATAATGACACGTGGCGAAATGGGTGCATGGGCATGCATGCACCAATGCCCCTGAAATCTCGGCGTAATAAACTCAAATTAGAGTTTGAGAAAGTGCTACTTTATTTGGCTCTCACACTTTCCTCTTTAATTTTCTCACTTACCAAACGCATGAGAGGCGCGCCGATTGGCTTCACCATGTTCATGCCAATTCCATATACAGTTGTCTTTTTCAATATATATATATATATATACAAAAATGTTTCATGCCTCCTTTTCTCCTATCCCTTTTGACCCCATCTCTCTCATTGATTACATTTTCTTTTTTTTTTCCTGCTCCTCCAATCACCACCTGCCACGTGCCTGTTGAGGTTGTGGGGGTGGTGATTAGAGGAGGTCTCTATAATGACTCATATATATATATAATAAAATAATATAATTTCATATTTTTTGAGTTATAATTAAAAAGAAAAAACATAACCAAACACTACATGTAGCATAATCAAACATATCAAAATAATGTCATAACTAAAGAAGAAAATTAATCATAATTAAAAAAAAAATGACATAACTAAATGTGCATATAGCAATGGATATCTATCGTTGTCTTTTTCAATATATATATATACAAAAATGTTTCATGCCTCCTTTTCCCCCACCCCCTTTGACCCCCTCTCTCTCTCATTGGTTACATTTTTTTTTTTTTTCCTGCTCCTCCAATCACCACCCGCCACGTGTCTGTGGAGGTTGTGGGGGTGGTGAATGGAGGAGGTCTCTATCATGGCTCATACATATATATATATATAATAAAATAATATAATTTCATATTTTTTGAGTTATAATTAAAAAGAAAAAACATAACCAAACACTACATGTAGCATAATCAAACATATCAAAATAATGTCATAACTAAAGAAGAAAATTAATCATAATTAAAAAAAAATGACATAACTAAATGTGCATATAGCAATGGATATCTATCGTTGAATTCTCCATATAAAAATATAATTGGACATATAGGGGTATTTTGAGAAGTTAGTAAAAAGTTGACTTTTTGACTTTTTAATTTTTTTGGTGATTTTTTTGGCAAAAAAACTAGGTTGTTTTGAGTAAAAAATCTGATTTTTTTGATTAAAAAAAGCTAAAAAGTCAAAAAATGACTTTTTACCATTGTTCCCAAAAGATCCCATAGACCAAAAAAATAATTGGACACAAGATGAGTCCCACATGTACATCCACCTCATGTGAGACCCATCCATTATAAAACATTTGTGTCTCATTCTACTAGCCTATCACCCGTGCTACGCACGGGGTAATTATAGATATTTATATTTGTGTTAGATTTTTTTTTAATATATAAATTATGTTTTTAAAGATTTTTTTATAAAAATGATTTAACAATTTTTATAACTAACCATAACGTATGAGAGAAGTTGAAAAGGATAATGCAGTAACTATACACAGTTTGTATCTATAATTATTTGTATGAGGATATTTTAAATGATGATCAAGAGATTTTGACCAAATCAATAAATACAGGCATGTGGAAAGACATGTGGAGTGAAAAAAGTTATTAAATGTTGATCAAAAGATTTTGACTAAATCAATAAATGTTAATTTTTTTTAAAATAAAAAATAAAAAATTAAGAAAATTCAGATTGGGATATTGGAGCTCCCACAAGCCTTGGGGGTTAAAACCCCCTTTTGCTTAATATATAGTATAGACTAGCGGTAAAGGTGCGATGCACGGAAAAATAAACTATATACATTTTGTGTGATATATAAATTATTCTAATATTGAATTATATTTTAATAGCAGCAAGCCATGATGTTAGGCCATCTTAGTTGATGTTAACAATAATTAATCTACAAAATTTCACAATAAAAATTTGATATACATAAAAAATTGTTAATTATAAAGATTGTTAGGATAATAGTATTACAATCACTTGAAAACATAAATAATTTGTATCAGACTATAGTGTCATGCAAAAAAAAAAAAACAAAAACAAAACATTAAAAGAAATAAATTTTATAAGTTATCATAAATTTACTTATTTTAAATCAATTATTTATATTATTATTGTGGGAGCAAATTATGAATAAATCTCAACTTTAATTATAATTTGTAAGTAATCATTCTCCCTAACTTGAATAATACTTGCATAGTTTTTACAACATTTTAAAAAAAAAATCAAGAAAAGAATTTCGTAAGATTATAAAAATTATATAAGAAAATAGTTTAATCCATTTTATTTATAAAAAAAAATATTTATTAATTTTATTTATGTTTTGAAAAAATTGAAGATTGTAAACATATAGGGTAAATTATTATGGCCTCATTTGGGAAATTGATTATTTTAGTATGCTATTGTAGTTTTTGGTTATTTTAGTATATTAAAATTTTTATGTTGAGAAGATGATTTAATTTTTTTGTAATTAGATTTGATATTTGTGAGAGAAAAATAAAATGATTATTAATTTGATATGTCATTTTATTTTTTAACTTTTTTTACCATTTTATAAATTTTAGTCTAAAAAAGTCAAAAATCCACTTCCCAAAAAGGTCATGTGATGCATTTTCTTTTTAAGAAAAATATTATGGATCCCAAATGATTTACTAATTTTCTATTAAACTTTTCATATGGATGTGGGACCTACACAAACCTACATATGTATAAATCTCACATCCATATAAAAGATTTGATAAAAAATTTAATAAATTATTTAAAATTTCTAGCCCAACTTTTTTTTAAAATTCTTGCCGTTAGCCTTTGTCTAGTGCGAAAGTTTTGACAAATGTCCACCGTCCAATAATGACACGTGGCGAAATGGGTGCATGGGCTTGCATGCACCAATGCCCCTGAAATCTCGGCGTAATAAACTCAAATTAGAGTTTGAGAAAGTGCTACTTTATTTGGCTCTCACACTTTCCTCTTTAATTTTCTCACTTACCAAACGCATGAGAGGCGCACCGATTGGCTTCACCATGTTCATGACAATTCCATATACAGTTGTCTTTTTCAATATATATATATATAATAAAATAATATAATTTCATATTTTTTGAGTTGTAATTAAAAAGAAAAAACATAACAGAATACTACATGTAACATAATCAAACATATCAAAATAATGTCACAACTAAAGAAAAAAATTAATCATAATTAAAAAAAAAAATGACATAACTAAATGTGCATATAGCAATGGATGTCTATCGTTGAATTCTCCATATAAAAATATAATTGGACATACAGTGGTGTTTTGGGA